ACTTCTGACTTCAAACTACCATGACCCCATTACATTTCATGTTCGAATAATTCCACAGAATTCACCTCACATTTTTTCTACCTTTGTGTTTTTACGTCTGTGAATCATTATTCTGTCCCCCTCTCGACTTTTTACCAGTTGGATGTTCATCTTCCTTTCTGTGAAGCCCGAAGTCAACTAAAGGGCTAATGATACCTATCATAACGCCTGCCATTTGAAATAAATAAATATATTATGGCGAGTGACCTATTGACTTGATTTAATCACAAATTTGCCTAATGAACAAACATCGAAATCGTAAACAATGACCGGTGTTTTGACAACACGTTGACCAAAACTGACCCCCTTAGTGTCTGCGTATGAGTGGATGTACCAGATTGGTCTGTCGATACCAATGCGTCACACATTGGTACAAAATCAAATACGAACAGGTTGGGTTGAATGGCAAAAGCAGGACAGCAGTAAGTAGATAAAATGGTGGGCAGGGTTCGAGTGAACTACGATTATAGGATCTGACTTTTGGCAACAGCAAGCTTATCTTCTCCCTCCCCCAGGTGAAATTTATCAACGTCAAGAACCAACCCCTCACCACGATTGTCATTTACTGACTGATATTTTCAATAGACACGGAGGTTCTTTCAGATGATGATTTCCACGTATGGACTTGACTAAGATAAAATAGGTCAGGCGACCTGTAACAGGCTGAAAACGATATTAAACGGTTGGGTAGAGTCACTTGGTGTTCAGTGGCCATTTTGCATTAATCATATCGCTCAGTATTGCCCAATATTTTGCCCAAAAGGTTCAGTCGCCAACGCTAAACACGTGCACACGCACTTTTTTCACCTAAAAATATTCAGTGTTCACAAGACTGTTATAAAGTCCAAGGAAGTGAAAAGACCCCACCCCTCCTCCGGTATGTCATAGTCGACCATTTCCACAGTACTCACCTCACCTTTTCTCTGCATTTGTGTCCATCTGTCTCTCTTACATCTATGAATCACTCTTCTTCCCCCCCCCCACTCTCTCGAATTTTTCTCACTATGATGTTCCACTCCTCTGTGAAGCCCTAAGTCAGCTAAAGGGCTAATAATGACTATCAAAAGCCTGCCATTTGATATAAATAAATACTTTAAAAAATTTATTATTATAATTTCCATATCTATATTCACATAGGACTATTTCATCTTGGCCACTCTCGGTATCGTTCATTCAGAGAGTTCTTCCAACTTCAACACATGTTCCAGCCATAAACGATGACACGAGTTTGTACAAGTCAGTCAGTCAGAGAAGTTTTGAAAACGGCAAATTCTATATACAGCCTACTCTCTGGGGTGGATTCAAAACAGCACGACTAAATAGCGCACACATAAACAAAAACCCTTACCAACATTCATTAGGTCTATTCACTTAACCTCATTACCGCTACACTGCCTCTGTTAAAGATGGACCTTTAATAAAACTTGTACATTTAAATCAATGCAAAAATAAGCTGAGTTATTACACTTTGAAGATCTTCTGGTAAGTTAATAGGAACCTAACTGTGCAACAAATTGTAGTCATATCGAAGTGCGGTGCTATGATAAAATAATTGTTCTTCATTCGTTTTTTTAACCAGAACAGAGACAACCTAAATTAAAATCAGCCTCTAAAGCACTTTTCCGAAAAGTAGCATTTAATATTTGCAATATTATGACTCGCAGGGCAAAGATTAGAGGCAAGTACCACAGGCAGTAAATATTAGAAAATGAAGGTAAATACCTTGGCGTGTTTAATCTGCAATTCGGCCAGGGCGATCAGATTCTTCTGGAAGTACTTTATCCTTCGTAACTTGAATTCATCTAGTTCTATAAGGAAAAAACAGACATTGCATAAGACTCTTGATGTGCACATTTCATGTCCTAACATTTATAGACTGACTACTAAATTCGCGAAGCTCAGAGATTTATAAAAATAAAAATTAGTGGCAGGGTTTTTCGAAAATCCGCCCGGAGTGGTTAAACGGAAAATTCCATTTCATGGAACTATTTTTTCGGGTGGATGGTGGATTCTCTGTACGCAAAGGACATTATCACTGCGTCGCGGCTAGCAACTAGCTCAACAGCAAGGACACCGTCAACACAGAATATCCGTCTAGATCTTAACGTAATCTTGGATGTTTTGAGGAAAGGATCTCAAAACGACCTCCTGTCATCATTTCAGATTAACCGTCTTCTTCTCTTTGTCTTTGTGTATATTACATTTTCCCTCTAAAACATGCTACTACCATTCACCAAACGCCACAAACCGACGGATTAACATCAACCATGCAATCACTGAGACCCGATATTCACTACCTCCACGAATTACGCTAGGCTACAACATCTGAGAACCCCTTCAATCCCCAACGGCCTACCCTCGCAATTTGTACATTAGATTTTATGCAATTACAATCGTCCTCTGCCTTATTGAAAATGTAAAGATCGATAGAAAACTAGTCTGCAGAATACCTATGAGTCGAGAAAAGGTTATATAGTACCTGATATCAGAACTTTTCTTGAGCAGTAGGAATTCCTTATTTTTCGGATCAAGTTATGAAATAAAATACGACAGGCTTACCTCTTCGAGCCATCTGCGAGATATCCGTGAAACGTTTGTGCATGGCCATCTGATGAGCTTCTGCGGCAGCGATATCGCGTTGTTTGGCCCGAGCTTTATCCAGTGCCTTATTAGCAGAAGTGTAGTCAGCCAGAGCCCGACTTCTACGATAGAGTAGGTCCTTGGCTGCTGAAGACTCAGCTCTGTAATATCCCAAGGAGTCCGCTAGCTTCAAATCCTCGTCTGCTGTTACACGCATCTGTAGGGGCTATAGACAATTATGCTCGAAAGTTGGCTCACAACGAGGCATAAACCAATGAGGGAGTTTATACTTACTAACAAATCAAATAAGTAGACAGCAGATATTAAATTCTAGGTAGTCTGTCAAATACCAGTTAGTAGTAAATATTCAAAAGAATATTAAACAGATACAGATAGATTTACCTCCACGTGGTGCACCCTGGGCAACGTATACTCATACAGCAAAGAGTCTATTAACTGGCAATTGACTTCAAACTGCCATCACCCCATTGTATGTCATATTCGATCACTTTCACAGTACTCACCTCACCTTTCATCTACCTTTGTGTCTGTCTCTTACATCTTTAAAATACTCTTCTGTCCCCCCCCCCCTCTCGACTTTTTTCGATATGATGTTCGTCTCCCTCTGTGAAGCCTGAAGACAACTAAGTGGCTAATGATAACTATCATAAAGACTGCCATTTGATATAAATAAATATTAGACAGATACAAGTAGCATAAAAATCCAAGCAATTAGTCGAAAGGAGTTTTCGCCAGAAGTGACATCAGGAGAGTCATCCCAATAGGGCATATTAATTAATGGGAAAGACCAACAGAACTGGCTAATCCTTGCGAAAGGAGTAGTAAATGCTTCCCATCAATGTGTAACATTGCAATGTCTGAATGAGTTTTACAGAACTCAGAATTTTTTCAACCACAGTTTAAAGGGGGGAGAAAAATAGCGAACTTACATAGAGAGCACCGAAGAAACTGGAAAACTTTGAGGCAAGCCTACAAAAGAAAAAATAGAGGCAATAAAGCAGACATGAGTTTGCAGTGATCTTGTATATTTTTTTTGCAGTAGCTGGTGTATACCGAGAGGTCCACTTGCTTTCAAGTTTATATGACAACACATGAAGAGGTCATTACTTTCAAACGTCACCCAGGCATTTCTATCAAGCTCTCCTATTTCCAGTATCTATGCATCTCCATTTCCACTCGCATTCCTAGAAGATTTCAAATAGATTATTGGTGCAGCTCAACTCTAGCTCTTCTGGTTTTAGAAGAGGCTATTGGATCCACTAAATTTATGAAGGGTCACCTCTAAGTTTAAACTCGAAAAGTATCTCTATCGGTGGGAAGTGATGTTATTTAAATCGAAAGGGTAAATAGTTTTCTTCACCGAGCACTAGCGAAGAGAGGTAAAGGTGGAAGTACTTACATAGATTCCGAAGATTTCAAATTGATAGGAGGAGTGGTAGCAAGATCTTGGAGAAGTAATTCTAGTCTCAAGATGCTCTCACCAACTAGCCGACGATTTCGACAGACCGTATCGGCAGTTTGATGGGCATCTTGAATGGCGTTGTAGTATCGAGTAAGGTAGGACTTCTCATCTCGAAAGTAGGGGTCATCTTCACGTTGATTTGAGAGGATAATACTCTCATCGGCTGACTTTGTCACAGATTTAAAGAAACCCGCGGCCTTGAAAGTGATAAAGATTATTAACTTCGAAGTGATCTAGATTATATAAGCTTTCTCGAAATGAAATTTTCATATATGTTTCGTAAATAGTTTCCCAAAGCTTATTTTAAAACCAGGGGTGTGGGATAAACTTACTTCCACGTGGTACACCCTGGACAACGTATTCTCATACGGATAAAAGTCTATTAACCGCCAGTTGACTTCTCACTTCAAACTAACATCACCCCACTGTATATCATATTCGACTCCTTCCATAGTACTCATCTCACCTTTTTCTACCTTTGTGTCTGTCTCTTCTACATCTGTGAATAGCTCTTCTGTTCCCTCTCTCGAATTTTTCTCACTTTGATGTTCCTCACTCTGTAAAGCCCGAAGTCAGCTAAAGGACTAATAATAACTGTCAAAACGCCTGCCATTCGAAATAAATAAATTTTCAAACCAATAGCTCCAATTATGAAGTAACCTTGTCAAAACGTTCGGATGGCGCACAAACATCCAAGAATTGCCAATTCGATGAGTCAGTATTACGTGGCTGGTCGACCATCGGTTGTCGTCTGACCCAAGCAGGCTACCTTAGATCCTAAAGCATATAAACCAATTCTGTGAACACAAACATTCTGATACTTTCAAGCATGCACATGATATCTCTCAATCCCGAAAATTCGAACTCTCATTGCACTTAAAGCAGCGATTTCTTACATCGTGTTGTGATGTAAATAGTAAGCACTCTATAGGCATTTAGAGCACTAGTAAGCATGAAGTGCACTTATGGGAGTTATTCCCAAAATAAGATTCCAAGATCTCCAAACCTATTAATTGAAGAGAGGTGGTATTCCGATTAAAATAATTCTCTGCAAAAATGAGTCATTCACACATTAATGTATGGACAATGAGAAGATCCGGCAAGCGTGCACAAGAGACTAAATAAGGAATAATGATTTTCAACAATAAGTTTTGGGGAAAGGGTAGCATACTGGAGGGGCTAAACAAGGAAATTCAAATTCTTAAATCCTATTAGGACGGACTCATCAGTTGCGGTCAGCAAGAATGTCTACTGAGAGCACATGGATAGTCAGAAAACCTATGGCCTCCAAATCAAAAATAGAGTTAAGTTAATAATAGCCAGTTTACGCCATTATTCACAATACATTGGCAGATTTTCGTTCCAGTAAATACGGAGGAAGTTTCGCATTAGGTAGATAAATTCATGCATTTATTACTAGAATTATAGTATATCACATTAGATAGCGGTCAAGTACCATTATACTATAGAATCACAGTTTAGTTAGTAAAATGGACATACCAATAGCTAAACATTCAGCGGCCATTTAAGCTATAATTTGGAGAAAAAATAACACGGAGACTCTAGATCAAATACTGTAATAAATATAGACGCGAGGAAGTTTAAATACAACCACCAAATTAATCTATTGAGAACCTGGTAAGCAATTTGAAATGAATGATAAGACTGGCTAATAAAACTTGAAGATCGGGTATAAAAATAGTCCTATTTGGAATCACACGATTAGATTCCTAATGCAAGCATAATCGTTTAGCCATCGATAAGTAGACAGTGTGAAAAAAAAACAGTAGTAAATAAACAATTTAGAATTTAAACGTTGGGATTAAGATAACATAATGTAAGACATTACAAGTTCGTCAGCAAGCTCACCTTTTCTTTGGCATTCTTTGTCCGTACACTAAGATCCTGGTCGTATTCTAAAAAAACGCGAAAACCATAGTCCTTTCGAAGAACGGGATGAGAGGCAACTCGTTGCAGAAAAACTTGATGCATGGCGACGGTTTTCTTAAAATTCGCAAGATATTCACTGTATAGAAAAGATAAGAGAGGAGAATTAGGTCAATATAGAATCAATAATGTATATTAATATCTAAATGAATTTAAATGAGACAACTCACGCTTCAAGTTCAGCCTTTAACTTCTGCATATCCTGTTTAGTCATAGTCCCTTCACTCTTTCCCAATCGCATCAGCTTCGCCTTTGATGCATCAAAATCAGGTCGAGAGGGACAAGGAGGAATAATAAAACCTGCAAAGGCCGGATTATCCTCAAATTGATCATGAAGCCAGATGAAGTCATCGTGAGTGCGATTGACTTGCATATTCTGATTTTTGAACTCAGGCAAGTTGGTCTAAAAGGAATATGAAAGAAAAATTAATTTCGAACTAACCATTGCTCGAACAGTGAAGGAGACCAAATCCTTATTGCTGAGGGCATCAGAAATTTCAACATGAAGGTAAAGATCAGGGCAATCGTCTACAAAATCTTCCTCGTTAGCGGTCTGGGAATTGAAACCCTGAGGAACAATCGACGCACCACCAATTGGAACAGTGTCATCAAGAAAGGTGGAAGGATCAGCGAAATCTGACGCCATTTTAAAATTTAAAGCTAAAATTATACGCAAAAAAGTAGAATTTGCACAAACAGCTAGTCAAATAACCTGAAAAGTGCTAAAGAAAGGGCGACCACTCTGACTGATAAATAAGAACTTTATGAAAGCAAAAAAGCAACGGTCTTTAAATATTCAAAATAAATAGGAGTAAAAGAAGTAAATCTTAAAACATGTTATTAAATGAGTATGCCAGATACAGAAGGCAAAGCTCACTACAAACTTATTGGTCAAATCGAACAAACGAAGACTCACAATGACTTCAACAAATTGAAAATACATTCGATAAAGGTTTAGAAAAACCAATGAAAAGGAATTATTAAACTCTTCATTCTGGTGAAATTTTTAATCTCCGTACCCCTATAAATGTTTTATTTTTATGTAATCAAAATTACTCAAAAATGTACCTTAAATTAAGTCAAATTTTAATTTAATCTATGTTAATAAATTAAGTTATGCATTCTTTGGAATATTCGCATTGGCTTAGTTCTTCTTATCTATTGTAAACGCGCTGAGTATGATTCGCCATCTCTAGAGTTTGGCTGTCCCTAGTTTTGTAAGATTTCGTGTTAAATATAGTCATATGACTTTCATGTTTCTGTTGATTTATCCTTTATTGTTCTAGAAGTCTAAATTTCATCATATTGCGTTTATTTAGGCACCGATGAATGTTTATCGTACATATAATGGTGGTCCTGTAGGGTATGGGGATCCCAATGACCGTACGCTTGGAGACACGGAAAGAGGAACACTTTTTTCAAAATTTGTTCAAGAAAAATTGATGTTCGATTTGTGTGCTACTGAATGGAAACATTGGCGATTTTGTATTCGAGCTCATAGTGATAGCTGGGTTCCTTCCCGCAAATGCAAAGCTGAATTTTCTCTTGTAAATCAGTGCCAAAATTCGTAAGCCGTCTCGTTGGAACGATGCTTTAATTGGTCGTATTAAGTAGCACTTTAATAACCATTTGTGCCACGTGTATCTTTTATATTTCTTGCTATTTGTTTTATTAATATTGTAAATCTATCCAGTTTTTAGAGTTAACCAGTTATGTAGAAAAAAGAATAAACTCTTTAATTATTTATACGTAGCATTAAAATAAAGCTTGATCACTGGTCTGTTAATGTTCGCGTTAATATTCTTTCTACATATAAAATGGACGTTTTGTTTTCTGGTGATTGATTAGAATAACAACATATTTGTTCCGGTAATTGAAGCGAAATTTTACATATGCATTATCCTCTTCTAGATTTGTTCAAGATCCGAAGAAGTTGAAGGAGCTTGAGGATGAGTATCTTGATCGGCGATCCCAATTTCGTCGAACCGGTGTTGGCGTACGCTATTTTACGAAGGAAATGCTCAGAAATGCCCAGGTCGACGACAATTGTGAAGTAAAGTGACATCCTCCCCGCACACCCCTCCCATTTATTATGTATTCCAATGGCTATTAGCATTCAATTTGTAAAGTCCTACTCTTCACTTGAGTAACATTTGTTCCCTTTCTTGCCCAGCGAATTCGGATCGTGATTTGTTATCATCTTTTATTTAGGCAAAATAAGTAAAATGTTTCTGAAGCAGCAAACGTAAGGTAATTGGAGTAAATAAACATTGTCCTTTTTGATATAATAATACTTTAATATCTCTTTGATACCATTTTATATGTCTACAACTACTAGAATTCCAGAAAGAAATAAGATGATCCCTATTAGACTGGGCGCCATTAGTCATGCGTAGGAAAAAACGTCAGCTACAATTACTCCAGTGGTGGTCTTATTTGTCCGATGAGAGCGCGGAAACCTGATCATGTATTTGTCTGCATGAGAACATCTAAAATGTGTGCTCAATTTTGTTATTGATAGGTAACAGAGATTTATTTTGAGGTTGAGTTTATAGTGTACACATATTGTCCACATGGGTAAAATTTGTTACATTTGACACATAAAGAAACCTAAAGATTGAAAAAAATTTGATGAACATATCCAAACACGTTAGAACATTGTTTTCTAAAAAACTAAGGTAGTTGTGAAGATAGTAAAATGTTATTCATTTAGCTTTTTTCCGCTTCTGTTCTTCGCGTGCTTTAGTAATACGCCCGAGCCAAGGCAAACTTGCACCAATAACTATGGAAGCAATTGTGATAACTTCCACAAGAATAAGAGTATTCAATAGCCAGTAATCAATCCTTTGGGTTTTCCAATAACTCCAATTAATGTCCTTGCAAAGAAGAGTGAGACCCCATCCTACACAGGCGAGTTTATCGGCCAAGGATACCAGCTTAGCAAAGAATGGAGACTGGCCTTGGCCTTTAAAAGAAGTATTTCAAAGTTAAGAGAATTATATGAAGAAATGGTATAAATAGAGAGGGTTTTACCTGAGGGAAGAACCACTAACACTGGAAATGAGTACGCCAAGAAGGCGAGACAAAAAGCTAATCCAATGACCCAGTGGATAAAAACACCGAAAGCGACGTAGGGAAATAAACTATTAATCTCGTGTTTTCGTACGGTGTCACTGATATATGCAATAGTGACAATGGGTAGGGACAGGAGTCCCATAATAGCACAAATGCAACCTGATAAACCAGCACCGATTTTATCAGATATTCGAGATGGATCGAAATCCCCAACAGCAAGCATTCTGATGCTTGCTGCAGCCAATGCTAGCAAACGGAGTACACATCGCATTCTAAGCCACGAAGGATAACCAAAATCAGGTTCGAAGGCAAAGAGATATGCAAGATGAATGTAGAAAGCAGACGCAAGTAGAACTGAGAAACTCGGTAGGATACGAGCTGACATTCCCGTTGAGGTAAGCATATAAATCGCTGCCTACAGATAAAATTACGCGAAATACAATAATAATGTTAATAGACAAGTTATGAGCGTCAAGCTTACATGCGTATAGATAATCCATGGATGAATTGGGGGCTGACTCTCTCTGCTAGCACGTTCACTTAGAAGGCAGAGCAGAAAGATGGCCAAAATGATTCCACTTCGAGCTAGAAGGTAATGACTGATCCGAAGACTAAACACACCCCAACGTTGCAATGGCGGTAAATCTGCAGGCGTCACAGCCTTGGGCTTTGCTACCTCCTGTGATGACGCCTAATTAGGAATTGCATAGGCATTATATCCCAGGTCTACTTACTTGAGAATTTAAGTGCACCAGTATTTATGAACAGGGTTAGTCGTATCACATAATTATATTAAGCAAGAATTAAGTGAAACGTAAATACAGAAAAGCAATTTATTAAAAAAACAAATTAGTGCGCATATCAAGCAGAAGAGGTGACTGAAGAAAATGTAGATTTAAAATGCTCAATGTCATTCATTAGTGGAGGATTTGCTCTAATCTAGATATTATGTCTTCAGCTGGTACCAGATCATCGGAAAATTCAGACTGGTGGTTTTGATAGGGCCAAAGACTGGATTTCTCGGTATTTGATTTGAACAAGAAGGCCCGACCAAAACCCGCACTTCTTGCACCCAAATAATCTTGACTTTTTGAATCACCAACATGTCCACAAAGCTTCATACGACTTCCTAAATCTGATTTGTCACTCGCGATTTCTCCAAATCGATTGCAGACTAGTTCGAATATACCGCGATTGGGCTTCATGTAGTCGCAATCACGAGAATATACTACAAACTAAAATCGAGGAAATATAAACAGGAATGCTATCAAACAATGCTAACAAATGGAGCAAAAAAACTACATCAAAGAATTTATCCAAGCCAAGATTCTTCAAAATAGTAACAGTTCTTTCATCCGAATTTGAGCATACTGCCAGTTTGATGCCAGCCGATTTTATCTTTTCTAATCCTTCAACTGTACCAGGCACCAAAAACCAAGCATTTGCAGTCGAGAACCACTCGTAAAATTCATTGACGATATCCTCAGATAGTGCATTTCTGACATGTTTCTCGTCGAATGGAGAGCTTCCGGCAAATGTTTGAATCATCTTTACAGCAATTTTAGTTCAATACTTTTAACCTACGACTTCTCTCCACCATAGACGAGGGTTGAGTTTATCTTTACGACCGAAATTCGGCCATTTATTACTGATCGCCGAACAGGCATCGATCAATTGATCAGACACTACGCGCTTTGTGAATTCGAAATGTAAATGCTTGTGGCCAAATTTTGTGTAGGTTAAAGCAATATCTTCCTTGGGTTGCACCAACGTCTTATAAAGGTCAACAGACAAATAGCGCAAGGCACATGCCCTCATGTTAATCCAGAGAAAATATCAAGGTGCTATTTGGTACGAGTTGATAAAGCGCTCACACTTCGGTAACGATGTTACTTAGTAAGTGCAAAGAGTGAAAATAATTGTAAATAAATTGCTGTGATGACAAATGACTCTTATTTATTAACAAAAAGTTGGAGAAGGAATACAAAGGTTTTTTATCAATATAAACCGCTTGGGTTGCTATCTGAACATAAAAAACAGAAATAATGGTTCAATCTTATAACATTATATGATTCCCTAGCTATGGTGGGATCTTATTTATTTGGTTTTGAGTAAAGTCATGAAAATTTATTTTTCTCTGAGCAAGGAAGTTCTAAAATAGGACGCCTCTTTGAGCGAGATATATTCGATATTCAATTCGAATGAAATCAAGCATTATTCCTCTCGCGCAATAAAACCATTAATTAGTTAGCCTCCGAATGCGTTCTAATCGGACTCTGTCAAATTTTTTGACCAATATTAGAATTTGACCTTTGCCTAATAAGGACGGCATTTTCTTTAAGCTTGAACCCGACAGAAACATGACTCATTGCCTACTTTATCCTGGCTTCTTTATTTTGTATGGGAAAAGAATCTGATAGCGGATATAGTTGGAAGATTTCCTGGAGTACCATTCTGATAGGCTCATACACCTTCATATGAAAGTCAGTTGATGGTAATATACTCTTCATATCCTCATTTTGTGCCAATATTTTGAACCCGAGTAAACGGGGAATATGAAGCAAAGAGGGATAAACAAAACTTGTCCTCTTGATACCGGGGCATGCATAACAAACAGATTGGCTGACTTAGTTCATTTTTCAGAAAATCGAAAATTAGTTGACCATAAGAAGGTTCTTTAACTGCTAAAAATGTAAAGCATGATCTGCTAAGAGTTTCACAATAACAATTACTATATTTAATTAAACATTTTACCCTGAAAAGGATGCTGATATATCTCTAACACCGAATTCAGTTGAACAAACGAATGATAGATTTTTAGGTTTTCTTATAAATATTCCCATTCGTTTGAGCCTCTGGTATTAAGCTAGAAAAAACTTGTAAAACATCACAATTAAAACCAATTAAATGTTAATTAGTTGCATTATATTTTGAAGAGCGAGAGGTTATTCAATATTTTTATTAACTGATAAACAACGTATTTCATCCACAAGCTAACGCGCACTTTGTCTGTCTCTTACAGCAATATCGAGGTATGGGTTGGGGTTTCTACACATGTGGGCCCAACGAAGCGCTTGTCGTTTCCGGTAAAGCTAATTTTGCTCTCTTACTTCTATAGGCTGCTGTTATAATAAGCCTTACTATGTTCCGGGTGGTCGGGTCTTCGTTCTTCCATTTGTTCAAAGAATTGACCGGTGGGTTTATGGTAGCTTGACTCTTTCTTAATTTCTCGATAGTCTGTATAAGTATTATCTAATTTTGTTTATATAGTGATTGTGTTATTTGTTAATGTTATATTATTTTGTTTTAGAATTTCTCTAAACATAATGACTCTAATTATTGAAAGTCCTCGAATCTACACTCGCAATGGTGTACCAATTACAGTTACTGGAGTCGCTCAAGTTAGTGCTTATTTTTTCATTTAAATTTACACCCTTCATGTTTGTTTGCTTCAAATTCTTTCTCTTAAAGGTGAAAATTCAGGGTTCTAACTCGGAGATGTTGAGCGCCGCATGTGAACAATTTCTTGGCAAATCCGAACCCGAAATTCAGGAAGTTGCTAAACTTACCTTAGAAGGACATCAGCGTGCCATAATGGGTAACATGACTGTCGAGGAGATCTATAAAGACCGCAAACTTTTTTCTCGCAGTGTTTTCGAGGTTGCATCATCAGATCTAGTGAATATGGGAATCAGTGTTGTCAGCTATACTTTGAAAGATGTCAAAGACGACGAGGTATGCATTATCTTTCCTTCGGTTATATTGAATGGTCATTGAGTGGTTATGTTTGTTTATTGAAAGATCAATCATGGAGCTCGATCTTTAGTTGCGGGATGATTCTAATTTTCCTAACATTTTTGTCAGGGTCGTAATTCATATCTTATTTTAAGATTTTAATTCCCCTTTATTTTACAAAATTTGCTTTAGTGAAGAAATTGCGATTGGGTGAGTTACTTTGTTCTCGTTCTTTCTTTTAGTCTTAGTGTTTAGCTGTTCACTACTTGACCATTTTATGTTTGCTTTAGTTTTTTAGCACGATTTCCTCTCTATCTCTTTTTAGCCCTAAACTTGTTTCTTATTTTAGTCGGTGTTCGCCTGATTTATCTTTAATATTTGATAATACGTTCTCAATCTTATTGTTTGGCTGTTGAATAGTTTTAAACACTTCATTTGGTCATTTATTCGTTCCCCTATATGTGTACTATTCATATCGATTTCGAAAGCCATGTATTTAGCATTGATCTTTTGGTATAATTCTCATTTCAAAACTACTTATTCTGGCATATAGAGGTCGTATGGCACTTGACCTCGGCGATAACTCAAACCTTTGTGGGCTTATTCTACCTGTTCACCTCTGTTTTAAGTTGTTTGGTTGGTATTTCTTGCTATAATAATTTCACCTTCTTATGTACGTTTTTAAGTTAAAAGAATATTATGAAGTTTACTTTGCTAGCATAGTTTGTTGAGGATTCTATCAGTCCAATAATCCATGAATCACGCTAAAATCGTGTCATTGGCGTATAGGAATTAAGGCCTTTGCACTTTATTTCTTTTTTTTACTTAATGCAGATAATCCACCACTTGTACCCAGGGTGCTCTCAAGTTCAATAAAAAGTCAACTTCCTAGAAATGTATTTCAAACGCTTTACATTTTTAGACATATCATGAGCATGCTCCTCTGTTTATAATTTCTCCCATAGATGTGAATATACAACCAAAATCGCTCAATACCATTTGAGACAGTCACTGCTCTTATCATTTTTGTGATACAATGTTTCTGACCTTTTACTTGTGAAAATTTGTTTTCCTCAGAGTTTAATGTTTCTCGACTTTGAGGGTTCTTAAGAACGCCTCTTCAGCTAAGCACGCCTTCTCATTTGCCTTATGAAATGGACTTGTACGTAATTGCTTTGCTGTTATATTCGGATTATCTATGTCTGTATATGAAGACTTTTATGATTAACTATGTAGCCTTGAATACTGGTTCTTTGTTCGAAAAATGATCCATGTCATAATTTGGCTAACACATCTTTGTGTTTTCTATTCATCTAAGTCTCCTCTTACGTGCATCTGTGACCAGCAATTTTCGGTCTAATTGGGGTGGGGGGGGGGGAGGCTTGTTTGCAGGCCACAGCAGTAATGGATGGTAATAGATAACCATTCTTTTTTTCTGTAATTATGCCATATGAGAAGAGAAAATGTGTCTTCTAAGACATTCATATTTCCTTATGAAAATCAGTTTCTCACTCAGTTGTGAGCTTTTGTTCAATAACATACTGATTTCATTTAAACATTGTTTCAGAATTGGGTGGTTAACATGTGTTTCTACTTTATGTGATGTCAAATAGTAATGAATGAAGACATTGGTGCGAATATGCGTATGCTTAAGCTAATCGATTAATAACACCGTAGTTACTTTGTACGATAGCCAAATCATGTTCCTTAAAAGGCGGATTTAATGTACTTTTCTACTTGAATAGGGCTACTTGGAAGCGTTAGGAATGGCTCGTACAGCTCAAGTGAAACGTGACGCCCGAATTGGCGAGGCTGAGGCTCGAAGAGATGCTGGAATTCGTGCAGCTCAAGCAGAAGAGGCAAAGACCAAAGAGGCGTTAAAAAATGAGGCCCTAGTTGCTAAGGCTCAGCGTGACCTGGCCCTCAAGCGCGCTGCCTGTGACAAAGAAGTTAGGGCTCTACAGGCCAAAGCTAACCTCGCTTATCAACTTCAGGTACCCGTGTTTTGGCTTAACTGATCTTTTTATATTACTAGTGGTGCTTATATTGATCATCTAAGCAATTTGTAAACATTTTGTTCTACAAGAGTAGGCGTTTTGATTAATCAACCTATGTTTGTTTGTCCTTGGTTGTGGAATTAATATTTATTTATTTCAAATGGTAGGCGATTTGACAGTTATCATTAGCCCTTAGCTGACTTCGAACTTCACAGAGGGGTGAAACATCAAAGTGAGAAAAACTCAAGAGGAGGACCGAGGAGTGATTTATAGATGTAATTGAGACAAACACGATGATAGAGAGTAGATAGTAGGTTGGGAGAATTGTCATCCATCTCCTATTCTCTCGTGTGACCTAAGTTATGATGTTGTTCATTCATTGGTTAAGCGTCTGTAATGGCTAATACTGCATTGTGGTTCTTAGGCTATTTTTAAGAGGCCAGTATATCTATACCACTGGCTTGTGGTCAATTCGAAAACGAGTGTACTCCTTCCTAATAACGCTACTTTCCATAGGCGTTCATTATGGTTTGGTGGAATACCACTTAATGAAAAGTCTTTTTACTCTGTTATGATTTTCTTCACTTTCTCCGAATATTAAGCTAGGAGTTTACAAGATTTTCAGAATTTAATTAGGCACCTGAAAAATAAAAAGAAGAAAGTAGAGGAATAGGCTATACATCCTGTAAAGTAGGTTTCTTTCATTCACCGGAGTAACGCTCAACCCATTTAGTTTCTAATTTCATGATCTGTTCCCAAGAAATATCGCTACAATCGACCCATTTGGGTCAAGAAAATACAGCATGGCAGTTGTTACTCGAAAGCATTTTATTAACACAGCGGAGCTTATACGGCCTAATAGAAGTCCTCCTCGCAGCCATGATGGTGCCGATAGCAATTTTCGTCCAGCTTAACTGATAAGCCGTTAGGAAGAGCATACTTCCGCCTTTTTAATAAGGCTGTTGGTCGACTATAGACCGCTTGTTGGTATTACTCATTCTGAGACAACAAACATCCTTTGTCAGTATCCCATCAGTGTTTGTTTGGAATTCACTATTGGAATTTTTTCTCATTGTCTGTAAATCTGGCCCCATTGCTTAATCTTAAGGTACTTTGGACTAGTAAGTAAACATACACCGCCTGATTATGTGTACGCCATGCCATTGGTGCATATCCACGCGCATGTATTCTTGTAACCCTCTCTTGACTTCTTTACGCAATCGCCTTTGACGGCCTTCCGTAAACTTCCACGGTCTTTGTGTTATGTGTTGATAATTTGAATGCTTAATGAAGAATTTAACAGTACGCCCCAACTTTAATTCTTTCCCGAAACAGTGGACCTCCTTTTTTCCTTGCATCTGAATCTACCCACATATTCATTTCTTAACCTCCTGTCTCTTCTCTGTGTCATCTGCCCTCGGTTTATTCCTGCTTCTTGTAGATGCCTACGACTAGTGTGCTTACATTAAAATTCAACGATTTGAATGCAATAGAAATTGAGGAGAGATATATTAGCATTATTAACAGGTGGGAACAAAGTTTATCTTGAACGCGCTTTGTGAGGTTGGATTAGAAAGTCGTTACTTTCACATTCTCTGAGGTATAATTCAATGAATATTCTCCGTTTAGTAAAAAAACAGATATGGAAATAATTACTTTTATCCAGGTTGAGTACTTTATTTACGTCTGTTCATATAAAGTGTCATTCACTCTATTTATAGGCTGCCAAGACACGTCAACAAATTCGAGCTGAAGAGATGGCTGTAGAGTTGGTTGAACGCAAACGTCGTATCGAACTGGAGGAATTGGAGCGTCAACGTGCTCACTTCCGTCTTGAAGCTGAGGTTAGAAGCCCTGCTGCTTCGGAATGCTTCCGTCTTCGCACAATCGCCGAGGCGGAGCAGGTATACTATTTAAAGCACACGCTTATACCATAATTTGTGTTTATTAAGTCAACTGTTGGTTGTCATTAATGTATGTGATGCATGTTGTCTATCTACTTAAATGGCATTTCAGTAGTTCACTAGCGAGTGCGTTAAATGAGCCATTATTTATCTGTCATTTAAGTAAGACAACGACAAAACAGTTTTTCAACTATCTTATTCCAATAATGTAGAAAAGTTTAAGCAATTCAGCTTGAATATAAATGAGGTCTTTGTTCTGCATTATCTATCTTTATTGCAGTGTTTATCAATTTACCTGACTTATTCACTCTCAATATACTCATGCAAGCATTTGCTTTTCATAATAGTACAACCCATGTTTCTTTGCTGACTCTGTTTAAAGAAATTTGATGGTGAGTTTGTTGAGTTAATATCCTGAGTTAGAGTTGAAATGCCATCAATTTCCGTGTTTTCTTCCATTGTTCATTATGTCTTCTTCCCTAAATCCCAGTTCAGTGATTCATTCAATTCATGCTTTCTTTTCTCCCAGGCTCGAGTGACTGCAGAGGCCGAAGCAGAAGCCGAGTCAGTGAAACTCAAGGGTCTGGCTGAAGCCGAAGCAAATCGTGTTGTTGCGCTGGCTGAGGCTGAAAAGATGCGTCAGGTCGCCGAGGCTCTCAAGAACTATCAGGTGACTTATATTCACCGCTCTAATCAAACTGCCTTTATTAATGTCCATTCACACGCACTCATTGGAATAATTTGCCTTGCATTAGTAGGTATGATAAGAGCCGGTTGCACGATCTGCAGGGGGTAAGAACGGTTATGGATTGGACCAGGAGGCATAAAGGAGTAATTACATTGTCATAATAGAGCACTGTAGTTCAGTATATCAGGTCGTCATTATTTCTGTTGTCTACTAGAAGACAATGCTGGTTTACGTATTGTCAGGGCGTAAATGGAGATTGGTAGTAGACGACAAATATTGTGTCTAAGGTCAGCAGAGGGCACTGACCCTTCAGAATGGTAAGTAAAGCACGTACTTTGAAAGGATTGCCGGCCTACCATAATCTTAGGTCACTTCAGATCGGCTATTTCTTGGGTCAAATCACTGTACTGCTGTCATAGTTATGTGGAAAATATTGTTCTTCGAGCCTCGTTTGATTGCAATTAGGCAACACTGGATGCTATTTCTTATATATTTCTTTAATAGTCTAATTTATATACCTCACTACATTTTTAGCATTGAACTTTGTTAAGAGTTCAAGGTAACTACCAATACAACCTGAAGGTTCATCTCCATGTATGATTTAGTAAATTCACTGAGTAAATTTCTATAATTATGTCTTATGGAAGCGTAAGACGGTAGGAAGAAGCCTAGGTCATTCTAATCAAACCTTTATTAGGGGAGAATAGTGAAATTCACGGTTCGTTAATATAATCAACAGGGTTCTTCACTCCAAAAGAGGCTTGTGTCCCTAATAGAATGTGTGTTTGTTCCCGAACCTGTCTTTAAACGTATGAACATAGTGACTTCTCAAAAGGCAACCTAGTTGATGGAATGCAGCCAACTTTCTTTAACTGGAAGTGTCCTTCCTAGATGCACAATTGCCGTTTCTTTGAATCTAACATATCTGACCTTTCTTTGTTCCCAAATTTGTCTTAATAGGGAGCAGCGATGTTGGACATGGTCCTGCAGGCCCTGCCCCGGGTAGCAGCCGAGATCAGTTCACCACTGACGAACTGTGAGAAGGTCACGATGGTTGCCACTGGTGATGGGGAAGTTGGTATCGCCAAGCTCTCAAATGAGGTTGTCCGTGTTATTGAGTGTCTCCCATCTCTCATTACCTCTCTCACTGGTCAGGACATGAAATCCTTCATTCCATCACGCTAATTACCGATTAACAGTTCTTTTTTAAGCACTTAAACGTCTATCTACTGCCCTCTGTCTTCTACTTCCTTTTGCTTCCTTGATATACTTCCGTTCCTATTTATCTCTTATGCTCTCTCCATGTGTGCTTATTGATTCCAAACACTGATAATTTGGACAATACGTAATGAAACATGTTTTTGTTAATATTTATGCACTCGGCTTTCTCTCAATTAATGTCAATTCCGCAGTTGCGTATGCACTGAAGTGATGGTAAGACTCGAAAACTCAAAAAAGGCTAACCTTCCTCAGATAATTTATGCGTCTGTTTTTATAAAATTTGATTACAGGTATTGATTTGGTGCCATCGTTTGTCCGTGGTAGAACATGGAGGAAGCTTCATATCCGCGTCCCGGCATCAGGGAAAGGTGGAAGTCGAAATTTCTTGTGCTTGTGGTAGCGTGATAGTTCCGAGAATTTTGATACACTCTATGGTCAACATATGAATAAATACACTAATTCTAAATTTTGCCAATTCTGGATGGAACCTTCATCTCTGTTATTAGACGACTTCGAGCGTATCTATGAGGTGTAAAATTGCGAAAAATTTCACTTATTTAAAAACGGAACCTAGTACAATTGCTGAAACTGGGTTCTTGTCTAACGCAAGAATTTAATGAATGTCTTAAAGCCACCATGATAAATCAACCACTACGCCTCCTGTCCGGAGGGCTTTTGTCATGGCTTTCAAATTTCTTAGGTCTAATAGGTAACGCCAGTATCCGCGACTAATGTAAAAATCTCAATACGGCAACCTCTTGAAATACCAGCAATTGTTCAAAGTCAAAAATAAATACTGACGTCTTTCTGATTCCTTAAAAATTATACAATGTATTAGTATTAACTGTATTAACGATATACAAAATTAAAGCTTTAGAAATATAAAAAAAACTTTCATTTTGTAACACCTTGTAGTTGTTGACAAAGTCCTATTTTGCCACATTTCAGTCATTGTGTTTTATTCTCCATATTAACCTATTTATTTCTATATAATTTTTAATCTATTCAAATTGATTAGCTTTTTGACAAATTTCATTAAAGTCATTCTCTGCAGCAGTTTTTTTATTGACCCCCTAAGTTGAAGCTGACCTAAGGTTATAACTCCTTAAATCTTCAGAATGCATGCATTACTACAACGAATTCTGATTAGCACTATACATATTCAGGTTAGTTCAGTTCTTTGTATGAAATTGCACCGCGTTTGTTAATTACAAGAACCCATTATAAATTTATCATACACGATGTGGTGTAGATTTTTAGTTAAAGCATAATACCTTGGCAGCACCAAATAATTGGATTGAGTGCGTTTGGACATATTTTGTTGCTGAAAGGCATGAAGATAATGAACAAACTTGCTTTCTACTGAGATGATTCTAAAGAATTAGATGTATGCAAAATGAAAACTCTTTTTGGTACACGATCGTTTTGTATTTACGATTGATATTGATGGATTTGTTTTGAAGAATATCATTTTTGTGAAAACACTCTTTCATGAGAAGTTAACTTGATCTCCCAACTCGTCTGCATACATGGGGATGAATACTTTGTCGTCAAAAAGTGGATCAGTCTGGCATATTGGTTATTTAGACTTAATAATATGAAAATGAAGTCTGATTCGTAAAGATTCTGTGAATTTCGAGTTCTCTTTACTCGAATCAGTTCGAAGTATCTGTTCCTTTGAGAAAACAACTCAATGCTTTCAAACTCAGCCCTTAAAGCACACATGTGCGTCATTTCCCATTGCATTATGCTACAAATTGCTCAATTATTTATTTCAAATGGCAGGCGTTTTGATAGTTATCATTAGCCCTTTAGCTGACTTCGAGCTTCACAGAGGGGAGGGGGAACATTAAAGTGACAAAAAGTCGAGAGGGGGGATAGAAGAATGAATAACAGATGTAAAAGCGACAGGCAGACAACGGCACAAAAAAGGAGAGGTGAGCACTGTGGTAGTGGTCGAATATGACATACAATAGGGTCATGATAGCTGGAAGTCAGAAATCAACTGCCGATTTATTGACTTTTTGCCGTATGAGTATACGTTGCTCAGGGTGCACCACGTGGAGGTAAGTCTATCGCACACCCCAAGTCAGCAGTACCGAGTATTTCCAGCTGGTCACCCATGCAAGTAC